TAATATTTTTAATAAATGTTTGTGTGTTTAATCCTGTTCATATATCTAAAAATAAATTACTTTATTTTGGAAATACGTTCAGGTCACAAGTTTTCATTTCTCATTCATGATCAGAGTGGGTATTTCATAATGTCTGGGATTTCATAATGCAAAGATCTTGAGGGATTATTTTGTGAAATTGGGCTGGTCCTAATTTCATAGGGTGGTCTCTTACAACAGTGCTGTAATAATTCAAGAAAGTTTGTGCTCTGTTCAATGCAAAACTTACTTATTGATTAAAATAATGTCATTTTGTTAAATCTTTTTGCTAAACTTTGAGCTTTTTCTTCTTTAGATCTCATGTTTTTCTCCCTTTAGGTTTTTGTTAATGTTTTTACCTTTTAGCTATTGTTCTTTTAGCTACGCTACTTTTGGCTTTTAGCTAGTGTTTCTTCTCCTACCTTTTAGCTTGTGTTCTGCTCTTCTAAGCCTTAACAAATCAGTTTTAACTTCTCATTAGCATTCACACTAATTTTAGCAGAAAATGCTAAAAATTAGTTCAAAGCTGATTAAATCTGAATTATGAAGGAATTATTTAAAACACTGTCTGTGTTTGGAGAAAAAGAAGATGAACTAAAAGTGCATTATAGCTGTACTGGATGTATACATCATATATTATAAAGAGCAGATGACAATAATTAGAACAAACGATTCAATCCTTTTAGAACAAGTGTGTTTTCAGCAGCATTTTGAGCTTTTGACTTTTTGAAATGGAATCACTGTCAAAGCAAAGTCAAACAAACAAATCATGCATTTTGTGTTTTGATGCTAAGAGATTATTATAAACCAGCTTGTCCTTTCAGGTGCTGTTAATCCTTATTGATCCGAGCAGCAGGAGTGCTCTGCTGGATGCACTTCTGCCTGATTTGATCCTCAGCGAATCATAATGTCAAAAGCAGCAAAGCACCACTTTGCTCCTCCGCTGTGCATTTCCTGTGCAGCAGCAGTGATGATTAGATCAGGTACTCATCACTTCCGCCTTTAGACTTGCAGAGTAAATAATTTTACCACAACGCCACAAAGCAAGATATTCGTCGGGTTTTAAATATAACTACACCACACAGATAATATTGGATCATGCAAAGTGCACGAGGACCCACAGGAAGCTGGTCGATTTAGCAAAATTTATTTTTTTAAACAGTGTGACTGGCAGTGTCTCCTTCCATCTGCAAACATAAATAAAATGACAGCAAATTATTTGAGCCTTTAATCCAAAATTAAACCTCAAAAATAAAATGAAATGAGCTGTTGAATCTAATTCGCCATCATCAGATCTCACCACCTGTTGATGTTCCTGTTTTTTACTCTTGAGGGTTGCCTTTAAACCCCCAACTGTCTCCCTCTAAGAGTTCTTTCTAATTATATTCTCAGACATCATTCTATTTGACATGTGTTTTATTGTGTTACACAAGCTTTGCTGATTGTTCATTTGATGATATATGTCCTTTTGGCACAATTGTTT